CAACACATACTTTCCTTCACCCACATTGTGAAAAAGGCAGCTATTTTATTTAGATACATACACAAGATGTGTTTACTTCCTCTCAGACTTTTTATCTTTCGTATGTGCTAAGACTTTTACACTTCAACTTGAAATTTCAACTTATCCTTCTCTATTATTATAAAAAGATTGATTTTGTATTTTTCAACACTACATGTATTATCTTTTAATTATTACACAAGACAAGACCAATATACACCCAACAAAGTTATACTGATACATGGAGGTAATGGACATTGTCAGAAGATGACCTTCACAAATCCTACAAACTACTCTCTTTATTAAGATAAAACTATAATGCAAACATATAAAAATCTAAAATAAATGACCTGCAAAGAAATTATTACATGTCATATTCTAGGATTATAGTCTTAAAATATCCTTAGTGCCCAAAATAGACTCTGGAATGGATGACTTTTCAAGAAAAAAAATAAAAAACCCAAAAGGTGCAGAAACATAGCAAAAGATGCTTTTTAGTAACTAAGCAAGTCACAAACAATAGGAAAATGTCATTAGAAACAAAGAAAAAAGTGCTGGACTGCTGTGGTGATTTTCTAAGCATAGCTTAGATGTGGTACAAGGCTGAAAGTATGGGGTACCCAGTGAGGATCGAACTCACTACTCAGACAATTGTTCTTGCGAGACACGCTTGCTAACCATTACACCATGTCAAGGTACCGAAAATGTTGGACTGCTATGTAATGTCAACCTTCTTATATGGCAATGAATGTTGCACAATCATTACACAGATAAAGAAGAGACTTGAAGCAATAGGAATGTGTTTCTACCAAGAAAAGAGCAGGTACCATAGAATTTGTCAGAACAATAGGAATTAGAAGGAAACTGCTGCTAGCAATGAGAAAGCGACAACTAAACATTCTGAGACACAATGAGAAAAGTAGGTTTGAAGAATTTAAAATTCAATGGATATAATGAAGGCAAGACAAGCAGATCGAAATAGCAAGTAACGTAATTGAGTTTGAGCAAACGGATGCCAGAACAAGTTTCACAAAGATAAAGAGAGACCTTACTAAAGAGGCAAAACATGACAGGTGGAAAGCTATGAAAGCACATAGAATATGAAATATTCTAAATATTATATATAATTCAAACTGTAACTTCATTAATGTATATAAATCGTTATAAAAAAAAAAAAAAAAAAAACACTATTCCTCTGCAAAAGGTTTCTAATAGTTTTTTTTTTAAAATACAAACATTTTGTCAACAAAAATTCTACAATTAGGCGATGAGAAGTGGACAAAGGTTATCTCCCTTGTTTTGATCGTGCAAGTATTAAAATATCCCGAGTCTTTAACAAGGCACTCAAGATTTTTTTTTACTAGTTTCTATATGTCTGAAATATAACTTGATAAATTAACAAAGCAATAAAGGATTAACGTTGTTACGGAACCCTACAATAAAATTAAGGAATTGCTAGAACATTTTAAAGGGACGTAACTGCTAATATCTAAAAAAAAAAAAAAAAAAAAAAAAAAAAAAAAAAAACTTTTTAAATTGTTCAAACAAAATTATTATAATAATGAGTAATAAAATAAAAACAGTCTTAAACTAATTTGGTTAAATATTTAGATTCTTTAAAAAAAAAAATATTGAAGATTAAATCTACATTCAATAAATCCAATAGCATTTTTTAAAATTTTCTTTTTCTTGTACTGGATCTTTATATGAGAGAGTACAGAATCATTGTCGGTTTGAATAAGGAGGGGGATCAGCAAAATAGATATTTGGTTTGGTTATTTGGTCATATTTGAAAAAGTGGGTCAGGCTGAGAAATTTTCAACACTCCCTTGTAGATGATATTTTTATTTTGACCAATTCAGTAGATATTAAAATTAAATTTCACTCTTTATTTAACAGAATATCTTGATTTACTTAATTTAATATACTAAAAATGTCAATGACTGATATTTAATGAAAGAATACATCGACAAAAGAGTTAAATTAATCCTTCAAATCAAGATGCTTGTATTTTCCCTAAAGTTTACTAATGAAAAGATGATCAAATAAAGCTTTTATAGAAAACAGATAAGCAATAATAAAATATGAACTACGCAGATCACATCTTTTTTCACAGAAATATTCAAATTTACAACATGTATAACCATGAAGGACTAACTTTATGCATATTTCATTGAAATGTATTTGTAATAGTAATATTATAAGAAATTTAAGCTGCTTGAGCATGTATCGTCTGCTTTTCTGAGAGAAAACAGACAATGTATTGGACTCTTGCTTAAACTTTTGAATTTCAAAAATATTTTGGTACATTTCGATTTGTGGGAAAATAGATGCGTTTTGTTTTTCATTCAGAATCAATCAAAAGGTTTCCCTTGAAATTCTGAAAAGTGAAATCTGGATCCTATCTGGATGAATAAAATGAAAAACCAAAAATTGTATTCATGGAGTCAACAAACAGCTGCTGCATGAACCCAGGTTGGAAAAACAACACAGAACAAATTTGATGATTACCAGATGAGAATTGAAAGGAACATCAAAGAAAATTATTTGGTTTGTGTGATTGTTCTGTTCTCTGCTGCTACCACAAACTTTGCTTTGAAAATTGTACCTATTCTTTGAAAACTATTCAGAGAAGTATTTTCTCCTTTCTTCATTTTATTTTTTATGTTGTTTACCTTTTCTGGGGGACCTTATGCAGCATTGTAATGTTTTTGTAAAGGCAGATTTTATTTGCATTGATTTTTTTTTTTTTAATAGACATGTTATTGGCCATCATCGCACACAAAGCACTTAATTTGTGTAATTCTTTCATTTTTGTGTGTTTAACAATAAATTTATCATCTGTTTTTTGAACTCAGCTCATGTCGTTCGTCTTTGTTGCGTGCATAAATTAATTAAATGTTACCGCAAATATTTGTTTGAACTATTTTTTTACGTAGGGTTTTTTTTTAACAAAAAAATAATTCTTTAATATCAAATGTCACAAAAATTTCTAATTGTTTAAATTAATTAATCTCTAACCCTTCATATCAAATGCCCAGGTACATACAGTAAATTATTTTTTTTTATCTTGGGGCTGCCAAATTTGACAACTAAAAATGATAAAGTTTTCCTTATCCGACACATTCAATGAGACATGTATAAAAGAATGGTTGCTGCCGAAATATTCCCAATCAAAGGGCAGCAACTACCCCTTAACTAGTAGGGCTCCCAGACAGAAGAGGCGAATTTAATTTCCGGGTTTACCACAAAATATGACTGTCGTGTGATGACACACTCTGGAAGGTATCCCCACATATACTCACGCACAAACACCTTGTTTCAATATGAATTGAAATGATTTCTAATTAATATGCACATTAGAAATCATTTGATTGAGTTTTTTTTAAATCATCAACTTTTAAATAAAATATGAACAATGTCCTGTATCTCTAAATTCCCATAAAACTATTTATTTTTTAATTATTTAATTTCTTTTCATTTAAAAAATCATAAGGCAACATAAATCACCACAGTAAAAAGTGGTCAGTCTTTTGTTGTTGTTTTTTTTGGTTTTTTTAAGCATCAATGAATTAAGTCAGAACTTTTTGTACAGACTAAATCTAAAAATGTGAGCAGGTATTTAATTTTTCTTATCTTTAGTTTAGTTAAAAGTTTTTAGTGTGAAATGCGCGAACTAACACAAAAAAAATCAAACCCTTCCTTTCAAATCAAAAAGTCAAGAAAAAGAAATGAAATCTGTGTTAAAAATTCATGGTCACCTTCGTAGTGATATGATCAACAAATAAATAAAAATTAGTCTTGAAGAAAGATAATTGCAATTTTTTTCTTTTTCATTATCCTAGAACTTGCGATAAAAATTTCGAGTGGTTTGTTTACAAAGAAATATGCAATATTATAAATAATTTTAAAAATAAAGAGCCGGTTGCTTAAGAAAAGAAAGGGAACGTTAGTTAGCAATTTGAATTACACAAGAACGTAAAAAAAACAATTTTGAAACGTAATTTTACAATTTTTTACATCAAGTAGTAGATATAACCACGAATTGTTTTTAAATGATTTTAGATTTTAAAATTTAAATTTTTTTAGTTCTACTTGACAAAAATCTCATAAAAAGTTACTCAAAAAGAAAATACGAGTAGTACCTGTTTTTTGTTTTTTTTTACGTAAAATAGAAATAAGTTTGAGACTTTTTTTAAATACAATATTTTTTGCAAAATTCAAAATTAATCCGATTCAAGATCGACCCTTGGAAATAAGCATCTATTTTTCAGAAATAGATTTTATTTTTACTACAAGAAAAAAATCGTGTAATTTTCCAATTTATGGGCACGAAGTTTAAAAGTGTTACAGACCTAGCTTACAACTTTTTAATTTTAAATATTTATTTAAAAAATAATAATTCGTCATTATTCTTACTGTTCTTTAAATTTAATGTTCAGTACCCATTGTATTTTTATTTTTAAAAAAAATACAATTCAAAACAAGCAGCGCACTTTTTTATGTCAACAATCAACATGACCATTTTGAGAAAAAAAAATTACAAGACTATATTTCTACAGGCATTTAAAAATCTTACTAAATAAATAGTGTAAAACTTACTTTAGTTTACAAAAGATTATTAAAAAAAATGAAAAGAGTAAAAAAATAATGGGTTACAAATGTTGGAAGATTATAATTGAAATTTTAAAATTATTTTACACTAGTCAAGTGTTTTACTTTTCAATATTATTCACAAAGTTATTTCAAAATTTTTAAAAACCGAAAAAAAAAATAAAAAAATAAAAAATAATGAATGATCGAAAAAAAAAAACTTCAAATAAATAAATAAATGTCGTCAGTTAAGTTCCACAATGTAACAATAAACTACTAAACAATAAAATAAAAAAATAATTTTTTAAAAAAGGACAAAAAAAAATATTTTTAAACTCATGCAAAAACCATTGAACAAAAATTCAAATTTTTTTATTTTTAATAATTACCAGCCATCTTCTGTAAGGTCCTTCGTGTACAGGTGCCTTGTCTGGAAGGGACATTGTCCAGGGCCTGGATCAACAACCGCTGTGGACTGAGCCAAAACTTCTTTTCCATTGATACCCCTTTCAGTATCGTGCGGCACACAAACTACTTTCAACTTATGTCCCAAATCGTCAATATTTGGTGTATAGACAACATCACATATATTATTATTTGAAGAACTAAGCTTTTGCCAAGCGACTGATTCTTCTAGATCGCAAACCTTACGATTACTATCACTTTGTTGGTCACTAGAGCAACTGGTTTTGATATCTTTATACCAACTGAAGTCACATTGAGTCACATCAGTAAACAAATATTCTATCTGGAGATAGACAGGAAAGCCAACCATGAGATTAGTGGGTATAGATAACTTTGTGATGGTAGGAATATTGACAATAATATTATACGAACAGGAATCAATGCGAAGCGACGATCCGGTGATCCAAGCCTCGATGTTAGATATAGATTCTAAAACTTTAATGTTTTCCCTCCAAACAGAAATTTCAATTTCTTCTTCTTCTTCATCCAAATCACTTTTTTCTTGAGCGCCTTCATTCGCGTTAGCCTTTTTCAGTTTTCTTCTTTTCTTTTTGTTATTTTTGCTAATATACTTGGAAATATTGGCCCTTAACCGGGACAGTGACTGCCCTAATGGCTCGTCTTTCTGTCGTATTAGATTAAAACTCCGAGAAGGCAAGTCGTTGTATCTATAATCGAAAGTGATTTTAAGTTTATCATCTTCCGGTACGTTGATTACGCTTAACAGATCCATCGGGTTTGAATTATTAAGAGTAAAAGAAGAGGTGTAGATACTTTTCCCGTTATTGCAACATAATGATGAAATAATAATACCACCTGATAAATGCCTATAGTTACAATAGTTTCGACGACTGTGACCACGTGGTTTCTGTGACTTCAGCACCTGATGATTAAATGGCGGTGTGCTATAACTATTGGGCTTAGTCTGTAGGCAACGCAAAAATCTTAACGCAATAATACTGCTGGTGACACGATGTCTTGTACACCGAATCACACACAGCATGGCTGATAGCGGTGGTAAGCCACTGTCAACAAATAATAAATTATTTGTTATCGCCTCTATTGCAATTTACACCGAATTTTTCAACTAAGGGTAGATAATTCTCGTGAAAAAAATATCGAGGAATATGGTTCAATCGTAAAAAAGAGTTTCACGCAAAAGAAATACCAATAACCATACTAAAGAAATTCTGATATTTACTCTTAATTAAAAAATCTAACACATGGCCAAAATTGTAGGAAAGAGGAAATGAAATCCTGAAATAAACTTAACCAGTCACATTTTGAATGGCCAATTCCATGGAATGAAAATGCAGGACGTGGGGGACCGGGGTTTCACAACCATATGATTCGTGGACTTCCTGAAAGACATGTCCCCAACCAAGAGTCCACACACTCACAAAGTTGAATTAAATCAGTTTGGTACTTTTGAGAAATAGGAATTTATCATTGAAGAACTTTATTAGGTTAGTTCAAAATAATAGTTCAATTAGAATTTTAAAGTGAAACAGAACTTGAAAAATGTGTAATTTTTAAAAATATTCCTGCCTCTAGAGGACAATCCTGCATTTTGTGAACAATTGGCAATATTCATTGTTCTTTTTACCCTAACTTTACAATACATTTATTATTTATTTCAACACTTTTATGCAACTAACACCAAAATTGCACACTCCCTCAATGAAAATTTGGCAATCTTTAATCTTGTATCAAAAGGACGGATTTTCCCTTGACATCACTAACCACTTTCTTTCACTCCTTGGAAAAGTTTATTTTAAAAAATGATGATTAAAATTGTAATAATACCTAAACATATAAAAGTGAATTTATACATTTTCTTTGTTCTTGAGAATATACAACAAAAATAATAAATACTATTTATTACACTGTTCATTTACAATATTGTTTACTAGAATAGTAGGCAAACATTAGCCACATTAGTGAATTGCCAATCAGTTCGAAATTTATAAAAAGCTAAATAAAAATGATTTTATCATAGTTGGTTCACATATTTTAATAATTTAGTTAATGTTTATAAATTTAGGAATAAATGTTATATTTATTTCTTTATAAATTGATAAATGATAAATATTGCATTAGTTTTAATACAATTGTATTAGTTTTCGGAATGTTGTAAACATAAAATTATTCTTGTAAAAATCTAATGAATAAATAATGTTTAATATTTTTGTTTTAAATTCTCAAGTATAAAAAAAATGTATGAATTCATATTCATCATATGTTTAAGTTTTATTATAATTCTAATCATCACTTTTTAAAACAATAAACGTTGCTGAGGAGTGTAGGTACAGTGTAACCCGGATATAAGAGACCCGGATATAAGAGAAACCCGGATATAAGAGAGATTTTTCTCTGGTCCCAAATTAGAGCCTGTGTTAATGTATATAAATTAGACCAAACCCGGATATAAGAGAAACCCGGATATAAGAGAGATTTTTCTCTGGTCCCAAATTAGAGCCTGTGTTAATGTATATAAAATAGACCAAACCCGGATATAAGAGAAACCCGGATATAAGAGAGATTTTTCTCTGGTCCCAAATTAGAGCCTGTGTTAATGTATATAAATTAGACCAAACCCGGATATAAGAGAAACCCGGATGTAAGAGAGATTTTTCTCTGGTCCCAAATTAGATCCTGTGTTAATGTATATAAATTAGACCAAACCCGGATATAAGAGAAACCCGGATATAAGAGAGATTTTCTCTGGTCCCAAATTAGAGCCTGCATTAATGTATATAAAATAGACCAAACCCGGATATAAGAGAAACCCGGATATAAGAGAGATTTTCTCTGGTCCCAAATTAGAGCCTGTGTTAATGTATATAAAATAGACCAAACCCGGATATAAGAGAAACCCGGATATAAGAGAGATTTTCTCTGGTCCCAAATTAGAGCCTGCATTAATGTATATAAAATAGACCAAACCCGGATATAAGAGAAACCCGGATATAAGAGAGATTTTCTCTGGTCCCAAATTAGAGCCTGTGTTAATGTATATAAAATAGACCAAACCCGGATATAAGAGATTTTCTCTGGTCCCAAATTAGAGCCTGCATTAATGTATATAAAATAGACCAAACCCGGATATAAGAGAAACCCGGATATAAGAGAGATTTTCTCTGGTCCCAAATTAGAGCCTGTGTTAATGTATATAAAATAGACCAAACCCGGATATAAGAGAAACCCGGATATAAGAGAGATTTTCTCTGGTCCCAAATTAGAGCCTGCATTAATGTATATAAAATAGACCAAACCCGGATATAAGAGACTTCTTCTCCGGTCCCGACAACTCTCTTATATCCAGGTTACACTGTAGTTAGAATAATAACCAAGGGAAAAACCATCTTTTTGACAGACCATTTTTTTGCAGACAGTAAGGTTAAAGAATGCTGAAAATTCTAACTATTCCCCATACTTACAATTTGAGGATGAGAGGAATGAAATACATTTGATTAAAAAAAAAAAAAATGCTGATTTAAATACAGGACTTCTTTTAAAATTTTTTTTTTTTTTAAGAAAGGAATGCAAATGATGAAAGTATTAGGATTACTCCCACCTGGTTTACCAAGATACCCACTATGTAGCACTGCTTCATGACTATAAAAGAATGGTTATAACCCTTCCTATTTTAAAATTTAGCTCTCTTTTATTCTGAAATATAGCAGTGTCGACAAGAACCTTGCTCCCACTGTGAAAAATTAATTTCCCCTGGGTGGCCAACGATTAAATTTTAACTCCCATACATACACACATCTCACAGACACATACACACACATTTTTTAATAACAAAGCCAATAATGTTTGTCTTTCTTTTCAGCTATCTGTGTACAGAAAAGTAATTTTTTTCCTCTTTGTGCATTGTTATTCTTTATAAAAATAGGTACATTAAGTTTCTTTGTGCTGAAATTTATTCCTTCTGAAACGGTTGGATTCGGTTTCTTCAAAATTTCTCAACCCCAACCAAATTCCATATTCTATAGATATGCAATCTTCTACAAAAGTATAAATCCACTTCTTAAAATATGGATTACAATCAAATGATGTTTAAATACCAGTTCCCAAAATTAAGCAACATTGAACATGGTCAGTATCTAGATGGGTGATATCTTGGGAATATCAGGTGCTGTAAGTTTGGTTGTATGGGTGGTGTAATGGATAATGGCTTGGAATTGTTATTTGGAGAGCCAAGTTCCAATTCCGGTTGGGTTTGTTTTATACACTTACATGCAAATATCCTTCAGAAAGGTATGAATCCACTGCTTCTCCCTCCAGCTATGGGTTAATTAGTAAGACTTGTATCACTAAATCATTATTATACCCCACAAAAATTTTCTTATAATCTAAAAATATTTTCTAGTTTTAAATACCCTACAAAAAGTTGATAAGCTGTGGAAATCAATTCTTGCGGTGGTTCTGACAGAACCAAAAATTGGAAAAACACAATTGTTTTTGCACGAAATCAATTTGAAAACACAATTAAGAGGCATCATGAGAATGAAAGGGGGACAACTCATATCGAGTTATACTTATTATAAAACCCATGATGTTTGTGTGTGTGTGTGTGTGTGTTCTTTATATATGGGATCGAATTTCCTACATTTTTTAACCGATTTCGACAAAACTCACGTTTTTTTTTGGCAGGTAGTGTTTCTTATTGTCTTGCACACTTTTTTCTTTATTTTTACATTCAGAATACTTTAAAAATTCCATTTGCAAGACAATTGTTTATAATAAAATTCTATTCAATCGGTAGACTCATAACAATTGAAAACAATGATTTTGTTTGAGTTTGGGCATTGACCAATTCGAAAAAAAAAAATAATTAAGACATGCATGTCCATCAACCTTAAACAATAATCTTTGTCAATTTTATCTTTCAGTCTTTATGATGGTCGATACTTGATCTATCTCTTACTGTTACATCCCCGGGCAACGCCAGGTTCTACTGCTAGTTCTTTATAAAAATAGGTACATTGAATTTCTTTGTGCTGAAATTTATTCCTTCTGAAATGGTTGGATTCGGTTTCTTCAAAATTTCTCAACCCCAACCAAATTCCATATTCTACAGATATGCAATCTTCTACAAAAGTATAAATCCACTTCTTAAAATATGGATTAATTACAATCACATGATGTTTAAACACCAGTTCCCAAAATTAAGCAACATTGAACATGGTCAGTATCTAGATGGGTGATATCTTGGGAATATCAGGTGCTGTAAGTTTGGTTGTACGGGTGGTGTAATGGATAATGGCTTGGAATTGTTATTTGGAGAGCCAAGTTCCAATTCCGGTTGGGTTTGTTATATACACTTACATGCAAATATCCTTCGGAAAGGTATGAATCCACTGCTTCTCCCTCCAGCTATGGGTTAATTAGTAAGACTTGTATCACTAAATCATTATTATACCCCACAAAAATTTTCTTATAATCTAAAAATATTTTCAATACTCTACAAAGAGTTGATAAGCTGTGGAAATCAATTCTCAAACTGTCTTATCATTGAGTGAGGAATATGTAAGAGTGAATAAATGGTGAAAATTATTTTTCTATAGTAATTATAGAAAAGTAATTTTTACCATTTATTCATTCTAAGGAAATTGAATGCAGAATAAGTCGTACTGGGGGTAGTTTTGTCAAACATCGCAAGTTGCTACTAAACCAAAACATTTATCTAAGAACTTGAATCATGTTCTTAAATAGCCTTGTCAGTTCTAGGCTCTCATATGGATGTCATGCATGGCATCCAACAAATTCAGAAATATCTAAACTGCCAGCTGTATACAACAGTTTTCTACAATCAATGATTTAAAATAGTTTCAAGTGAATAAACACTGTAGGTCTTGGGACTGTCCATTGAAACTCATTAACTGGGGCTACAGAATCAGAAACTTTATCAAATAACAGAAACTACATCAATTGAAAACTTTCAACAACAGTAACAATTAAAATGGATAGCATATTGTGGAGTTAACTCCACTTACTTTCCTGAAACCACTACTAGGGGATGCTCTCCAGCTCCATAAATGCCCTGCAATAATTTCTCATACCGTCTTACTTTTTCCACTTACACATCAACATGTAAGTCTCTTGTGGGAAAATGCATTTCCCATTGGGAAACACATGAACAAACTCCATACACACTCACACAACACATATACATACGCACATTCACTAACTTCACATCCTTTGAAATTAAATGTTTTCACATTCCTTTATTTTACACATATCATTGTATATTAAGAAATGGACAAAGTCCGACAATTTATTTATTAAAGACATTTTTATATAAAAAAAAAGAACGTTAAACATAAAACATATCATTGTCTTTGTCACTTGTATACCTTTCTT